ACTCTGGGAGCAATTAACTCCGTTCGTGGTGTTAATATCTGGAATAATGCAGGATACTGTGAGGTAATGTAACACTGGGCTTTGTGATGGTGTCGCCATGTTTAATCCAGATTCTGAGGTCAGTGTTGTTCGGCACTTCTGTGATACTTTGTCAGGCAAACTAAATCACTTTCACTGTCTGAAAATGAATCTGGAAACATGATGAATACATGGACGACATATCAGTTTGATCCATGTATTTATGAAATTGATCATGTATGTTGGGACTAACTCAGGGTACACAGGTGGCAACTCATTGCATTTCATTGTTTAAAAAAAGTTCTGGACCAGGAATTGACTTGTTTTTCTCCCCAAAATGAAACTCCAAATTCCATCTGCTCCAACAATAATTGCACACAGAAATATTCTGAATTAGAGCGTACAGGACCATCATTGACCAACCTCTAACACTTCCTAACCTTTAACACCTCATTGCTGCTCTGCCCCATCTGATTGGTCATTGATTGTGTCCGCAGCAGTCCGTCCCAACTCCTTCCCTCCCTGTGACTGTGAGCATCAGTCAGGGATGTATAATGCCACCTTGTGTCCCACCAGGTCTCAGAGATGTCCCCAGCACACGGACGAACAGAGGAGGGCCGTCAGGGTGTTCCTCCTGGGGCCGTCCGCGTGAGTGTGCCCTGTCCCCTTCCCTTCCCTACCCTCCACCCACCCACAAAGTCTACTTAACAAAAGTCATGTTTGAATGAGTGTTGTGATCCTCACAGTGCAGGTGTTTGCTGATACACTTCACTGCTTTCTGATCGGGCTTACTTTTCCAGAAATAGGAGCAGAACGATGCTGCTGGGCAGGGAATAATAGAGTTGTGACTGTCTTCTAACAGAAGTGTTAACAGACGGGTACACTGCAGCTGATGGGAGTTCTCTGTGACTTTCTTTCATGAAAGAAGGTTATAAATTACCACAGTGTTTTTGCTGGCCCATAGTGGGTCTCGGTGGAGTTGAAATTTTGGTTTAAAGTGCACTCCATATACTGTGCGTGACCTCCTTAACCCGATGTCCACGTAGTAGTGGCATTGGCTCAAGGAGAGAACACAAGGCTATCATATTGAAACAACCGAAAAAGGAGCAATGAATGGAGACGGTTCTATTGATTTCTTTTTACATATTATGTCAAAGTTCGATTTGCAAAAGTAGTGTCAGACAAGAACAGAACATAATATGTAAATGAGTATCTAGTTGCTCTTTGTATTGCTCACATAAGGGATCAAGTCCAAATCCTAAAACACAGTCTTGCTCTTTGCCTAAATTAAATCTCTTAAAATCCTTTGGGGTGCTACCAGAGAAACTGAATTCACATAAGTGGTAGTGCAAGCACTGAGACATTTTCTTTTTACATTTTTATTTTAATCAAACCCCTCGCAGCAGTGCTTTAAACACACAGATGTTCTCATTGTGTGTGTTTCACAGCAGAGACCAGTTGTAGCAACTTAGGCCAGAGATAAAAGTTAGTATACAAATATTATATAGACATTTTTCAGTCTGAGATGGAGGCCTGAGTTTTGTTCTCTGTGTCTGGGTTTCATGTAATAGGCCGTCCCTGCCTGATGCAGACACCGTGGTGGAGAGCGACAGCTTTGACATTCCTGATGGACAGACCCTGATGAGCCGCCTGCAGTGGGAGGACTCACCTGATATTTCACCTGCTGACTCTGCCTCATCTAAAGCCAGTAAGGAAGTAAAATGCATTACACTGGCAGTCATTTGTTCATAAAACATAAAGACAGTTGATAGATAAATGTTCTGCCCCCTGTCGCAGGCACCAACCACTCAGATTCTAGGAGGCCCAAGAAAAAGAAGAGGCCGTCTCTTGGTTTGAACAGTGGAGGAGGAGGAAGCCTGACTGGAGGCGGCGGCAGCAGCAGCAGCAGCTGTCAGAGTAATATCAGCTTATCGACCAAAAAAAAGAGGCCCAAACTCTCCGCACCTTCTATTTCCAGTATCTATGATGACTTAAACTAGCGTATGCCCACTCTGTCAGACCAGCTCTTGCCTCCTCTATGAAATCCCTCCTTTCATACCTACATTTACAGGCCTAAATAGGATGGGAAACTTGACTTAGTAGTTCTGATTTCGGCCTTGACAAATCAGGCATTTTAATGAACAATTCTCTTTCTGTATTATGAACACAGCATTCTAAAAACTGTGGTCGGTCACAGAGTTCAGTGTTCGCAGGAACTTATTGGAAAAATGCTCTGCTAAAAGTTTACCTTCTGCTTATTCTAGTAGTTATGAAGGGGTTTGCTCCCATTCAGCCACAAAATCATTCATAGGTCGGCCGCTGATGTTGGGTCATAAGGCCTGACTCCCAGTCGATGTTCCAGTTCATCCCAAAGGTGTTGAATGGGACATCAGGGCTCTGGGCAGGCTGGTCTCATTCTTCCAAGCCAAACCATCTCTTCTTGGATCTGGCTTTGTGAAAAGGGGAATTGTCATGTTGAAACAGGAAAGTGCCTTTCCCCTTACTGCTGACACAAAGCACATTATTAGCTTAATATCATTGTGTTACCACAAGACAGTCCCAGATTATAAATACACAAAGGACCAGGGTGTCCACTTACTTTGGACCATATAGTTTGAGCAGCAGTTTGACACCAATACTGCAGTCTGTCTCTGCTGTTCAACTTAAGTGGAGAATTCACACCTTATCTTATTTTAAATCCACCATGAAAAGCCCTTTTCACAGCAGCCAGGGCTGCACTTCATTTAGCTTCCCTGATTTCAGGGCCCTGCCACTGTGCATGTTTGTTCACTGACAGGGTTTACACAGCCATTCTTATCCTGCAATTACAAAATATCTGCTGTTAAACAGGCAGGTTAGGAGTTTTAATGTTTTTTTTCTCCACCCTTTTCTGGAAGTTAAATGCAAACCGAGGTGAGTGTGTCCCTTAACATCAACTACAGCTACTTATTTAAAGTTTAAGCAGGAGAAGTGTTGAATTTGGCTTTCTGAAACCTCCAGGTACTCTGTCGCTGATGCCGATCCTGTGACCGGTCCCTCCTTTAGACTCTGTGTTCATTTAACTCTGTTTTGAATTTGACATGTGGACACTTGACTCACGTACACCGGAGTACTCATCAGTGGCTTTTTAATTCTAGCATCGTATTGCACAGTTGTGTGAGTGCCTCTGTATGCTGACTTGCATTCAGTGTGAACGTCACTTTTTTGTGTAGTGTGTATGTGTGTGTGTGTGTGTGTGGTTAGAGGGTGTGGGTGTGATCATTTATATTTTCATAAAACTATGCATCCTAGAATGTGACATTTTTGTGAAAGTATGTGTGCCATTTTAAATATTTAACTTTTTTTTGTTTACATTAACAATATATTTAAGTTTTTATTTGTCACTACCTATAAAGTGATGCTGTATGTATATTATATGTGTGTATAAATGCAGATTTTGATATTTGATGAGCCAGTAGGCTTTCGGGGCACATGTACAGTACATGTATATATGATATGTGTGAGATGGAAAAGTAATCATGAATCTAACGTAACTTTCTTTCCTCAGTACCAAACTTCTCGTCTTCTCATACTTTCACTCAGTTTCTGCTTCTAGATCATATCGTACATTAAGTAGATCAGTGCTGCAGTTCCTGCTGGTCATTCATGATCGTGAGTGATAAGTCAGTATCTTCTAAGCCTATAAGCAACAATGTCTAATGTAAAGGTTGTAAGATATATTACATGCTTTAGAGGTCAGATGCACTATTTCACTAATCTTGTACCGGCAACTTTTCACAGATGGTATCTTAGAGAAGATTTGTTTTTCTTATAAATTGGCTATACATACCTAAGTTGTAGATATTATTGCATAGTCAAACGTGCATACTTGAGTACAACAATGATGTATTTTGTTTGTATATATCAGAACATCGCTTTAAAACTTAGGGACTGTATGAAAAACCAACAATCGCTCCACACAGAGGAAAGAGTCAGGGTTCGATCTTCTCTTTTTCCTTTCGGCTCTTTCTGTGACGACAATTAAATGCAACACTGGCACTGACTTTCAGGAGACACAGGCAAAAAATGTTCTACATAATGTTGATATTTAAGTGACGTTGCATCTCGCCCATCTTTATGACGGCCGGCCATTCGTAACAACAAATTTATTTTCCTTCTGACGTAGTCGGAGAACACATCGACATTTTTTTAAGAAGGCAGGGAAGGGTCTTTTTCTCATCCCAGATTATATTTTATTCCATTCTTTCCTTGTGAGATTTATTGTAAAAACTACGTGGCATGAGTCATAAAGGTGTGTGTCTCTGTATTAAGGCATCAAATGATTTAAAACGTAAGTTTACTTAGCAGCTCTTTATTTAGAAATAGGGAATGGCTTGAATATTTTCAATATTTTATTTCCAGGTATTGGAGGAAGGGTGGAAGGAAGTATTGTAAGACTCAAACCCCTCTCCCCATCTCAGTCATTTTCATACGGCCCCTAAAGTGAAGCGCATTCATTCGGTTGTACGTCTCATGTCATGAATGTGACAATCTGTCAAAGCCTGATTTAATTCCCAGTACGATTTACACTTTCATATCTGTTTCTGTTGAGGTCTGTAGTAACTTTGAACGTGCCCTTTTAAGTCTTTTCCAGTAAAGTCTTGTGATGTGCACTAAAGATAATTGAACTGTTATTGAGATACTTTGGTAGATATGATTAGAGTCTTAAGCCACCTTTCGTGGATGAAGCTAACAGCTGATGTTCTCTCGTGGCTCTTTGTGTATCTGTGTGCAGTACGAGTGCAATAACAAAGAATGCGACGTTGTGAGTTTCCAATATTTTTCCATGTGCAAGCACAAATCTGTGCATGTGTGAATGACTGTATATGAACATAATGTGATATATTTTTCTTCACTGCCATGCATACTGGTGTTTGTATATAAATAAACACACACCCCAACCAGCGGCTCACATCTTTAGACTACAAACACACTGAAACAGGTTTGGTTTGAAATGCTTTAATTTGAGACATCACTGAAGCCAGAGCAGTCCAGCATAATCAAGAGGGTTGTGTCCCCCTCCAAATCTTTTAAGTGCCAGATGCAGGTTCATCATTCTATCATTTTATTTACAGAAAATACACAATATATTTACAATATCTTCTCAAAAAGTGTCTATTTTCATGACTAGTGATTATTTAAATTAGCCTGTTTCTACATAGCAACAGTTAAGCAACAAAAATATCTGAAACTCTCAGCCTGGCATGGAGGCAGCTGTACAGTTCATATTTGTTTATACAGAACTTGAATCATTCAAATAACGTAAGGGTAAAGAGTTAAACTGGCACACACAGCGCAATAGTGAGTGGTCCCAAAAGAGTTTCGATTCTTGCATCTATCGGTTAAGATTACTTATTTGTTTTAACACGGAAACAATGGCCTCATAAACAACGACACAAAGGAAAGCATCACCAATCTTTAGCAAATAATAAAAGCAGACGAGAGACAGTTTAAACATGGTGTGACCCACTGAGTCATGTTTGAAGAGAAGCTAGATTGTGGTTCAATTTTAGCTGAACTTCATTTACCTTACATACTGTACACTCACTCATCTGTTTTTTTTTTATTTTATGTTTGTACATGCACAAACAGGCTCACCTAGCCACCCACACACACTCTCACGCACACTCCAGGAATCCAATCAGCTGTGGCATCTGCACTGAGCCCCGTTTTGATAAGTCTTTGTCTCTAGACGCCACCCACTGCTCTAGTTATTTTTATTTTACCTCGAAACATTCAGCTGTGAGCATGTGCTCCTCGCTTCAGCGGCTGTGCATCCCGAATATCAGAAAGCTGAAGAACACAGTGACTCCCACGAGGGAGATGGTTGCAGGGGCGGTGAAAAACTGCCTGTAGTTGATGCGGAAGTACCACACCACGGCCAGTATCACCACAAACACAGGCACCACCAGGCTGCTGGTGCTGATGGCCACACCGGCAGCCCTGAATCCTCCAGAGACCCCAGACCCGACTCCTGCTCCGGGCCCAGGCTGAACCCCTTCCTCTGGAGGGGCCTCGTGCAGGGCCTGGGAGACGTGGCAGTGGATCACGCTGTTGTGTGTGATGTTTAGGGATAACAGAGTCCTCTTGGGATCCTGCAGCAACTGGCCTTGGTAGATCAGCTTTATTTGATGCTCCCGACCTGAGAAGTATTTACTGGGGAAGAGCAGAGGAGAGAAAGAAGAAGATGCATTGAAAGATTTATTGAGGGAATAGTTGAGCACTTTGGGTAATACAATTATTCGCTTTCTTGCATGGAGTTGGATGAGAAGATCACTGCCACTCCGTACGATAAATATGAAGCTACAGCCAGTTAGCTTAGCACAAAGACTGGAAGCGGGGGGGGAAACCAGCTCGCCAGGCTCTGTTTGAAGGTAACACAATTGGTAAGTGGATTTTTTTTGGACCTTTAAAGCTCACTAATTAACATTGTTAGAAACAGCATGTGGTTTTACAAGAGGGTCCCCTGCTGTTGTTTTGGCAACCTCACAGCGACAACAAGCCTCCAGGCCAACAAACAGTCCCACACGTAACCTCTCACAGAACAATGTGTTGTTTTACATTTGGGCTTTTTTTTAAACTTTAACAAGCCATTAGTTGTTAATTAACAGACCCCTGCAAGCTGCCACCCGTTCCCAGTCTTTATGTCAAGCCAAGCTAACTGACTGCTTCACATTTACCGTACAGACATGAGAGTGGTATCGATCTTCACGGCTAAACCTCTGTAAGACAGCAAAAGAATCATGTTTCCCAAGATGTAAATGGATTCATTTGACTATGCTGGCAGCGTGTTCTACCAACCTCTTCAGTCCTCCTACTGTGTCCTGTGGTTCTACCACAGCTACCTCCTCTGTGTCATTTAAAAACTTGAGACGGACAGAGATGCTAGTGGTCGTAGTGGTGGGAGAGATGGCGCTGGACAACACCGGGATCTGCTTTATAATCTTTTTATCCTCCTCCTCCAGCTCTTCTTCGTCATCATCCTCCTCCTCCTCCTCGTCCTCATCCTCCTCCTCCTCGTCTGAAGTATGTAGTCTCCCAGCCTGCGGTTGCTTACTCTGTATGTCCAGCAGCAGATCTGTCCTGACCCCTTCAGCTCCCTCCCCCGTCCCCTCACCCTCTCCTCTCTCAGTCCCCGGCTCGCCGTCATCTGGCTTGTTCTCCTGCGAAGGTGGAGGGGTCTGCTGTTCGGGCGTGTCGGCGCTGGGTGACCCTCCGCTGTAGCTGTCGTGACCTCCCAGTCCGATCAGAGAGGCGTGAGCGCCCACAGTGAGGATGGTGCCCAGTATGTGGTCTCCCCGGTCGGCCACGTGGGTCGAGAGCCACGCCAAGATGAGGGCCAGGGCCAGGAGGAACACACCACCTGCTGCCGTTACCTCCTCCTCCATCCCGTCCAACATGGTCAGTGCACACACTGCCATCTCTGTCCTCCAAACCTGAAGACAACGCGGCACAAAAATGAGTCCAGTACAGTTTGTTTACGCAGCCCGAAATCATGGATTAGCCTCAAAGGGATTCACAACCCGAACAACAATGCAGCAACTTTAAGAGAAATACATATACAGCATAACATGGTAGTGTTGGGGGATATAATGTTGTATACCATGATCAGAGATAGCTTTACTGTATGCCGCTGTGTCTGCCCCTTTATTATCTCTACTTGTATGGCCATTGTAAGCAGTGCTGTTAATCAGTGAGCAGGATCACTTTATTCTGATTTAAAGGATTTGTGTGTGTCATAGTACCTTTATTTGTTATATCGATCTATAACCAGTTTCACAACTGAATCTCCAGGAAATTTACAACATCGTTATAGTATAATAGGGCTTTAACTAAGGGTACATTTCATTATGAACGATTCTGCCAATCAATGTATAAATTGGCAGAATACAGTTAACAAAGGCCGGTGGTGACCTGTTCTGTTTCATTTAAGATGAAGAAAAAGCAGCAAGTGATAAGCTGTAACTGGGGAATGTTTTTATTTCTATTTGTTTTTGTGTGAAAAATGGGAATCAATCGATTTTCTGTGAATCAACTCATTGATTAATCACATATTACATATACATATACATAGGAATGTGAAGATACTGCGAGAGGGATCAATCAGGATACAAATATGTGATGATTTAAATCGGTGAGATGGAAAATGAATCTGTGATTTCGGTTTCACTTTGATAACGAAAAGAAAATATGGATTGTTTTAGGAAATTGTAGAGAAATAAGGGAATCTTTTTCAGTCAGAAGAAGATCTTACCCGTGCATCCCACTCATGGCCTACAGGATGACAGTAGAAAACTATGATTACTGTTTTGGTTTTATGGAAGGAAATGCAATAAATGGATCACAGACTGACACAATCATAATTTAAAAAGAAAAGTTCTGACCTTGCAACAGTGATTCAGTTCAGATTAATCAGACTGATCCCCCTGCACATCTGGACAAAGCTACTTTACCCAGCACATGATGACTTCACACAACCCCTGGGTCTCCTCCCTTATAACACACACTTATAAAAAGGCTCCACAGCTCCACAGAACAGAGAACCGGAGTGTCTCTGACGAGCTATCACCATGTGGAAAAGCCATTAGTGTTTGTGCAGGCTGCATTAACTGAACTGATCCGCTGCAGCCATTCGTGCTGATCAACAGCTGTGTCTTGTAGCCGTGAAGCTGCTGTTCAAAGCCGTGTCAACACTCGTTTTTCTCGCCTTTATATACTTTTTTTTGTTTCCCTGCAAACGACACATGAGCTTCTGCTGCTGCTAACTTTGTTGCTGCTGCTGCTGTTGGCGAGTTAAGTTAGCAGGCGAGGCTAAGCCCCTCCTGCCCTGCTAGCTGCAAGAAAACGACCTTCGTGCTGTTTCCGACTCTCGCTGCTCGGTTTGTTTTCTGCCTCCGACTGTTTTTTAAACCTCAAACACACGACCTGTTCCTCCGGGTGAACGTCTGCTGCCTTTCCGAGCCTCCACTTAAAACAAAAAACCAAACACACCCGACGATCTTACCTGCCAGCTGCGAGAATCAGAGCATGTTTGAAGACGAAGGGGCTCAATGCTAGTTAGCAGCTGCTGCTTAACGACCACATAATAAACACAGAGAGAGAGGCGACGGGGACGCGTGACGTCATCACGCCACCACGGGTTCGGCGGGGGCGCTTGTTTTGGAAGTGGGTCACGCCCTACGTCCCCCCCCCCCCCC